CAAGCTCTTGCTTTTTTTTCTTTCTTCTCAAGCTCTTGCTTGGCTTTATTATTATATAGCTTATCTCCCCATGTGGCAAAAATAGTAGCCTCAAGCTAACATCATACTTGTAGCAGGAAATCTTAGGGAAAGAAACCTTCTCCTTTCCAAAATGTATACAGCAAATTTCATGGAGAGACTCTGATGGCCCTCTCCATCTCTGAGCCAATTGCTATAGCCAGGGAGAAGGGGCGTTCTGATTGAACAGTCCACATCATGTATCCTCACCTGTTGTGAAGAGTTGATGGGTCCAACCCTGACCTCATAGCAAGTGTTCCAGAAAAAAGGAAAGCTTCTGTTACCAAAAGAAGTGGGATGGAGCCTGGAAAAACAAAAACGCAATGTAACACCTACACCCAATAACAGTGTGCTGAATGAATAAAATATAATAAATCAGTGGCAGAAGCAGTAAAGTACCAAGTTTATTATGTGCCAAAAGGAGATAGACACTTAAAAATCATTTTATGGAAAGAGCTAGATGGAAGTGCTGTAGGACACTATTCAGAGTGGATTGGAATAGAGAAAAAATGCAGTTTTGAGCTATACTTTGAAAGAGGTGAGATAAATTTAGAGGAGGAGGATATTACAGACAGAGAAAGGTCACTTTGTCCAGAACCAAAAGCAATTAAAGAGAGAGAACTTCCCAAAGTCTAATTTTTGGGTGCAGCTGCCCTCCTTAAACTGTACCTTTAAGAAATCATGAGCTCGGTTACTACAGTAGCTTGTAGTTTCCAATTTAGTTGGATCCAAGGAAGAATTGTTTTGTAACCCTGAATATGATGAACGGATATCTCAAGGGTTAGAGGGGCTCCTACAAAAATAAAGTTCCAAGGTGACTGTTATCAAAGGGTTAAAAGAGAAGATATTTATTTATTTATGTATTCATTTATTTATTTATTTTTATTGGAGTTCAATTTGCCAACATATAGCATAACCCCCAGTGCTCATCCCATCCAGTGCCCCCCTCAGTGCCCGTCACCCAGTCACCCCCACCCCCCGCCCACCTCCCTTTCCACCACCCCTTGTTCATTTCCCAGAGTTAGGAATCTCAAAAGAGAAGACTTAAAAATATATATATTCACTTGCCCTCTGTCACTTTGATTAACAGTAGGTGCTGAATTATCAGAAATAATAGTAATCTGCATTTCTGTATTTATGATCCTCCTGTGAAGCTGAAGGTTTCCACCAATGTGAATTAGTTGAACCCCTCTCTGGCACACTGAGGAGGAAAAGAAAACAAGGCCAGCTCCCTCCTCATGCCCTCCCTGAAACCCAGTGAGTGGGGATGGGAGGCAGTATGAGGAGAGAAAGAGCAAAAACTTACTATAGTCTCCTTGAGACTGGCAAAAGGAGAAAGCAGAAGGCAGAATTGAGTTAAAAATTTGATTCAGAGGAGTCTTTCCATTGGCTCTCAGATTACTTACATCATATAGTCTTTGCAGAAACCTTGAAAGTCTTCATTATCTAGGACTTTGAGATGGTGTCATTTGTCCCCTTCAGCAGGCTGGAAACTGGCTCAGGGAGATTGGAGTTACTGGCCAAGGAATGATCCTGGTAGGACTAGAACTCAGATTTTCCGTCTCCTTGGTCAGGACTCCCCTTCCCCATCCCCAAGACTCAGTACCTCCCATAGGCTGATGTTGTCTTTCACAGGGTTCACATCTCCCCCCTCCCCCCCCACCCCCGCCCCGACACACAGTGCTGTCCTAGGGCAGTGGCAGGCAATCTCAGGAAAAGCAACATCATTTTCTTCGACTGGTTTAAACCTCTCCCCCCAGTTTCTTTCACAACTCTAGGGGTGTCTTGTTAACCCCGGCCTCCATAATGTTTGCTTTCTCCAAGACTAGAAGAATATTGCTGCTAGACACTTCTTTATAAACAGAAATTACTGTGTGATAATAATTATGCCTTCTGTTCAACTATCTGCACATACTCCTAACCTTATTAAGTAAATATAGGAAGACTATTAGTTTTATTAGCTTTTGATATTGGTATTGCCATGTTCTCTCTTAGCTATAAATATCTGCTCTGCCCACATCAATTTGAATCTTTTTTTTCTTAAGCAAATTAAAGTAGAAATGATAACACAATTACTATCTGAATTCTACTAAACTCTAAGTCAAAACAAAATATAAGAGCTGTGATTATGTGAGAGGGAGAGACTGGAGGGGGAGACTTCTGTTGCAAAGGCGCAGGAAGTCAGATCCTTAGTAGGAGAACCGGGATTTCTTAGGGCAGCACCAATGTGGTGGGTGGCTGGACTCCCGTACCAGTAGACACAGTGCAATTGCCCAGGATTGGAGTCGGAATGTTGACACTGCCTTGTTGAGTGCTAACTCTGGTACTAATCTGCTGCTTCCGATTAACATTTTCCCGCAGAAAAATGTTCATACGAGTTCTTTTCCTGAGCCCAAGTTCATGACGATGACTTAGAGAAACACCCTTAAAGTGCTGGGTAGACAGGGAGAATCTGTATACCTATGACCAGCTTGAAGGAGAGCAAAAGTTTAGTGTTGGGGTCACTCACAAAAAAACAGATTCTTACTTCCTCCCTGAAAGGAATCTATTCAGATTTAGACAGCTGCCATCTGCCTTGAAAGAACATTCTCAGCTACCTTGCCATAAATATAAATACTATACTAAATAGTGAGTAGGCATGAGAGGATTCCTAAACCCCAAAGTGGTTTTTCTAAGCCATCAGGAGGGAGCAGGAGGAAGCCGAACCCCAGTACAGGTCGCCTACTTGGATAGTTTTCTTAGTTTGATCATAGGAAGCAGAAGACCTGTCTAGACCAAGGCATGATCATCCAGTGGGTAATCTTTGTCTAGACCAAAGCATGCATGATCCAATGGGTGATCCTTGTCTAGACCAAGGCATGATCATCCAATGGGTGTTCCTTGTCTAGACCAAGGCATGATCATCCAATGGTAAGAACATATTTTCTTATGTCAGGAATAACAGTCTCATCCCAAATATGTGGCTTGATATTTCCTTTGTATCCATTAAGCTTCCATTTCACATTAGCACCTTGGTGGACCTTTTAAAACAGCCTTTTTTTAGGCTCTTACACATCTTTGGAACCATGTACCATTGGGAGCTTCTTACCACTGATTTCCTTAATGAGTAGAGCCACATTTAAGCACAAAAGCATATAATTTAAACGATTTCAATATCTAAAGCATTTCCTAAAGAAATCGGTTGCTCTAAGTGGTTATGACAGACTGGCAAGGGGTCATCCATTCATACATCACATTTACTGAACATACTTGACAGCTTACCGTTACTGGAACTTCAAATATGAAGATCCAGTTTGTGCCTGTACATGACATAGCAGGGTGGGCTCAGTAATGAGAACAATACAGTGGGATAACAATTAAAACGGAGAGGATTAAGATATGAAAGGACATTAAAACCTCATAAGATTCACTCCTGGTTCTATACCCAAAAGAAAAAGAAAACATGTCCACGCAGAAACCTGTACATAAATAGCATTATTATGGATAATAACCAAAAGGTGGAAGCAATCCATATGTCCATCACTGGATGAAGGGATAAACAAATGTGGTATATCCACGCAATGGATTATTATTTGGCTAAAAAAGATTGCAGTGCATGAGTGAATCTTGCAAACATTATGCTCAGTGGAAAAAGACAGTCACAAAAGATCATATACTATATAATTCCATTCATATAAAAGTCCAGAATAGAGAAATCCATAGAAACAGAAAGTAGGTTAGTAGTTGCCCAGGGCTGGGTGGCAAGCAGGGGGGATGGGGGCGTGGTAGCCAAAAGGTACAGGGTTTCTTTTTGAGGCGATGAAAGTGTTCTAAATTCGGCTATGGTGATGGTTGCGCATTATCTATAAAGATGATAAAAGCCATTGAATTGTACACTTGAAGTAGGTGAATTATATGGTATGTGAATTATACCCCAATAAAGCTGTTTTTAAAAACCGAATAAGACCTAAAACTGAGAATAGTGGTAAAGAATGATAGGGAGCTTGTCTCTCTCCCTCTCTGCCCTCTATCCCCTCTCTCATTCTCCCTCTCTCCCTCCTTCCCTCTTCTCCTTCTCCTGCCCCCAAAAGGGAATCACTGTCTGTGGCTGAGGACAGACACTGCCTCTGGAAGTAAGGGAACACTTTTAGTGCTCCTGATGATTTTTAAAAATCATTATTAGGAGTTGATTGTGGAGCTAATTAGGATGACAGAACTTCCAGCTAGACAAAGAGAAAATTGCACTTGGGAGGCTAGCGATGGGTATTACTAGTTGGAAATCTGACAAACACTTCCATCCCAGCTGGAGGAAGACTTTCTTATTACAGGAAAGGAGCCATGCTGCAGAAGGCTGCTCAAGAAAAAGCAATCCCAAAGTTAAAGTAGATGCATCTAATGAAAGAGAAAGAATCTAAGACTCCATTATAGATATATCAAGTCAAGAATAGCTAAAGAAATGTAAGGAATTCTATTGTTTTGTATTTGCAAGAAAGATTTTTTTTTTCCTCTTCTGAGTTTTCACTTGCTCCCAAATTTCTCAGTTTGGCTTGTTTTAATAAGTAGACAGTGAGTTTAGTTACAAAGTCATGATTTAAAATTCTAAGTGTCTGATCTCCCCAGTAATCCACACCTTCTGGGATTATAAATGATGACTCATTATTGCCACCTGATGACAACAAAAAGTACAGCCCTTCTAGAAATACTAGCCCTTTTAGAAACAAATGAACCCCTCGCAAGCTGAAATGGAGAATCAGTGATACAGAGATGGTGACAACGTCTCTTTAGAAGGTTCTCTGACCTTGGTGCTCAAAGGAGGCCACCTTGTCATAGGCATCTTTAAGGAGCACGAGGTCTTTTCTTACAACCACGTTACCCAGAAAGCAGTATTCTGAGTGATTTTCAATATATTATATTAACGTGGTAGATGTGTGTTGCCCTAAGCCTATCACCATTTTCTCCTGCAGTTGTAGCTGCTGTCATTGTCCAGTGGCTGCCACTCTGGTATCAGTGGCAGCTGCCAGCCTGTCATCACTATTGCTGCTGTCATCACCATCACAAACAAGCTGTTGCCTCTGCCACTGTCTTCCTGCTGCTAATGGGACTGATTGGCACCTCTCCATGCCACATCAAGGTGCAGAAGCTGCTCATCACCCCAGGCTCTGAGCCATCTGACACCCTTTACTGCCACTGCTCATTACCACCCTCATAGCGATGACACCAGCTGGGGCCAGCCCAGCCCTGAGCTGGGTGGCTTTGCTGGTGAAGGGAGGGTGATAGTCACCTTGCTACCTGCAGAAGCAGCTGGGCCTCTCAATGAGACTGGACCTGGAGACTCCAAGAGCCCTACATCTTTAAGGGTCAACCAGTTAGAGCACAGCATCTCTCTTCTTTACTCGTCTCTGGAGTTGATGATAATTTGAAACTTCTCCAAGCACAATGGACAGCTTGGTCCACTTGCTTCTTGCCCTGTGCCTGCTTAGGTGCTCACAATCAGCAATACTATGCTCTCCCTGACCATACACCAAATTTCCGTGCCGTGCATTAAAAGTTATGTTAAAACATTTTGCATCATGTCCAATATTTTTCAAAGCTTGTAAGGTTTAAATAATATATAGGACTCACGATGGCAGGCCTCACAACTGTATTTCCAGAGAGAAATAAATCCATAGCTGAGAAAGAATAGGAGGGGAACAAAAGTAGCCAGCAGATATCTGGAAGCTGGAAAGAAGATGGGACGCAGTTAATGGATAAACTGGTGGGGAAAACCTCTGACTAGAATGTGCAATGAGTGCTTTGGAGAAGTTGCAGGTTTATAATCAACAGTCAAAAATCGGAATGCCAAGAGAAACGGAAAAGAGGGGTTAATGACAATTTTATTAATGTGAAAATGTCATAACAGCACTGTTTTATTCAGCCTTTCAAAATGCCAGCATCTGGAATTTTTTTCCTGAAAGAGCCACCTTCAGAAATATTTAGGGACAGCTGGGACATCTGGTATGGCTGTTGCAGCTTCAGAACAAACTTCAAGTGTCATCAGAGAAAGAGGCTTCCCACCTGACAGTTGGCACCCCACCTGCTAATCCTAAAGAGAAACAAACTTACCTGTTAGCACTTTCAGCATTACCTACTTCACACTCACTCCCACCAAGAGGAGAGGCTTTTTAGGAACACAAGCCAACCTGTCTTTAAAGGGCTAGCATCCGACTAATTGGAGTCACAGGAAAAGAGACGAGAAAATGAAAGGCAAGGGAAAGGACTGCCAAATTGGTAGAAACACTTTTCTCAAACTAAGGGCACATGTCTTCACAGCAGAAGAGTCTACTGGGGGCCCAGTGCAGTGCATGAAAAAAACAGCCTGACCTAAAGACAGCCTTGTGAATTATCAGAATGCCCAAAGTAAAGTTCTTTTAGCTTTTAGCTTCAGTGAGAGAGGTAGAGAAACAAGTCAGTGGCGTCAGGCTTGTGATCAATAGCACTTAGTACTAGGAAGTAATGAAGTGATCCTGCTTCCCAGCTCCGAGGAAGTATGATTTCAACCTAGAAACGTATGTCCAGGGGGTGTATCAGCCATACTGAGGGCAAGATGAAGACATTTTTAGAATGATAAGGATTCAGAAAGTTTACTTCTCATGCTCTTCTTCCTGGGGGACTGAGGATGTATTCAAGCAAAACAAGTAAATAAACCAAAAAATTAGAAAACATTATGTCTAAAAAACATCTGATCCCACTCAGTGAAAGGGCAGCCCTGAAGCTGGCATGGAGAAGAACCAGTCCAGTTTGTGGTGATAGGATACAATACCCTCTGGAAAAGGGCTCTGGGAAGGGAAAGCCTCAAGAAGATGGATAGTATGAATAAGAATTAAAAATAAATAAATAAATAAAAATAAAACCTTAAGCTATGATAAATCTAAAGGATGCAAGAAAAAAAGAAAAACCAATCTGAAATTTTTAGGGGGAGGGGAAACTACAAGAGATTCATGGTCCGAAATCAAAGCAGACTTCCAGAAGCCTGCTCTCGAGGAGGCTCAGTGCTTATGACTGAGGGAAATGTACTCCTCACACAGTACCAGGTCTGGCGTGGAGCAGCATGGTATGCACACTGGTGTAAATGCTCTCTGTTTTCACCATTCGTCATGCAGCAAAGCAGGAGGGACCCAGTTGTTTGTAGGACAGCCCAGGCAAAACTAAAATGTAGCTGAAAGAGAAAATGGAAGCCAGTGGAAGGAAAAGGGGCCCAATAGAAAGTGGTTTGTGGACCAGAGAGGGAGTAAGAAAAGTTTACAAAAGGATCATTAAAAAAAAAAAAAAAAGGAGGGGTCATTGATGGCTTCCTCTTAAAAAGCGAGGGCTAGCAAGAGATTAGTGGAAGTCAATATAGTGGTCTAGGTAGTTAATTACTTAAATTATAGAGGGCAGTGTCATGACTCAGTGCTCATCATGATTAATGCCCTCCTTAATCCCCATCACCTATGTCACACATCCCCCTATCCCCCACCCTTCTGGGAACCATCAGTTTGTTCTCTATAGCTAAGAGTCTGTTTCTTGGTTTGTCTCCAACTTTTTTTTCTCTTTGTTCATTTGCTTTGTTTCTTAAATTCCACATGTGAGTGAAATCATATGGTCTGGCTGACATATTTCACTTAGCATTAACCTCTCTAGCTCCATCCACGTCATTGCAAATGGTGGGACTTCATTCCTTTTTGTGGCTGAATAATACTCCATTGTATATATGCATTTTATCTTGCCCGCTCTCTGCTGTTCCTTCCTCAAAGTCTATTGGCTTCATGCCCCACAGCCCCCTCAGTGGTCCCAGGCTGCTTCCTACACTGACAAGCATCACAAAAACATCCAGCGGGAAAAGACAGTTTCTCTCCTTGTGCTTTGGTTTTGTCTCAAGGAAACAATGCTGTAGACCTCCTCTCATGTTTTTGTTTTGTTTTTGTTTTTGTTTTTGTTTTTTTTGGCCCAAACTATATCACACACCCTCCTCTAAACCAATGATTAGCAATAGAAATGGACTGCTGCCTTAACAGCTCTTCAGCTGACTTCAGTTGGTTGGAAGGTCCCTGGAAATGGCAACTTGTATTCCAGCATGAACCTAAGACTTAGGCGTGACAACTGGTACCTCATCTCTCTCTTACTTGATAAGATTTCATAGCAGTAGACCCACCAAGGAAAAGTTGTTGTCTCTGTAGTTCAATTACAGACATAATTCAGAGAGAGAAAGACCACCGTGATTGTCTGGTGGCCTTGTTCAGTAATCCTCCCCTGAGATCTAGAAATACAGATCCCTTCTTTCTGACTTATGTATAAAATCAAGATCTTCAGAGCTGCTAAGTCGAGTTTTTCTTTGATTAAATAGCTTTGTAAAATTTACAGGTCCTAAAAGATCCTTCATGCCTGTAGGTAATCTATAATTTTACAACAGCATACAGATTGTGTAGAGAGAGAAGGGTCTTGTGCCTCTTCTCAAAACTTCCATGTTTTGCAACTTGGCAAAGTGGAAACAAAATGCAAAGCCCAGGTTTCGATCCCAGCCCTACCACTTACTTGAAGCTGCATAACCTGCAGTAGTTTCCAGACCTTGCAATGCTGTAGTTAGCTCTGAAAATGGAAGTGGTTTGCTTACACTGTAGGGTGGTTTTAAGGCTTAAACAAAACTGCAAATAGTATAAATACAAGGAGGATGGGTAATTGCTGACTCTTCCTATAGTAACATGCAAGAGGGATGTGTAGCACTTGGTTCCCCGAGTTTTATGTGTTTGATAGTCACCTAGTGTTATGGAAAAAGTGAGTCAAATTAGGCAAGGCAGAAGAATTTGATTCTCATTTGAAGCATGAATATAGTAACAAGAGGAGAGATGAAAAGCAGCAAGGGTAAAGACCAAAGGGTGAAGATATCCATGCTTTTGACCAAGTTTTCTCAGTCAAAGACTGCAGAGCCGCCCCCACAGGGCCCTGAGCTGAATCCTAGGGAGCTCCATTGAAGGGGATTTTAGTAGAATGGATCCTTCACAGAAGGAGACCACGGTCACTTTATTTCTTCACTGAAACACTTTGAATTATAAAAAGAAATCAGGCTCAGATAATCAAAAAGCATGAGATGATGGATAAAATACGTTATAGGATTTTAATTCAATAATAATTGAATTTCCTTAGCAAGACAGACTCAGAGAAGTTCAAATGTATCATCTCAATTAGTTCCAACCCCCATCAATCAGGACGAGGGCCCGGTGTTAGACTTTGCACCCTTCCCATCCTTCACCAAGACAGTGAGATAGAAGTCTTCCCATGGCTGCAGCATCCATGGCTTCATACCCTTTGCCAAGAGTGTTTTAGGCACGATTCAGAAGTGAGTTGTCCCTGTTCCTCCTCATGGGCTTAGTCCTCGAGTGGAGACATCGTCAGGCCAGCTTCCTCCCTGCATTTCTTCTCTGAATGACCTCAGAGCGGTTGCTCTGAGGTTCAAACAGTTCGTTGAGCGGAATGCCATGACACGACGAACTAAAAACTTCCCGTGACTTTTTCCAACTTATTACAGTTCCCCAACTGTGGCCCAGAAGTTCTTGAAAAAGCACATATTTTTCATGCCAGTATTCCAGTTATAGCATCGTCGTCCTCAGCATCTCACTGTTTAGCATCCTGACTCTGAACCCTCTGTAGGGAGATCTTTTCCAAATGCCTAGCACTCTGAAGCACAGGGCACCAATATAGTAGCTTGTTTTTCTACTATTTCCTTTTAAAAAAGTCAACACAGGAACAAAATCTGGTGCAGTATCGGCCTCTTTCACCCTCTGCAGACCGTGCAGTGGGATAGACATCACATCTTTCTGAGGCAGGTCTGGGAGGCAAGAGGCTCAAGAATCACGTGTTGATTGTGTAAGAATGGGCTTAGCTGGCAGCCGGGCCCTGTCTGAACTCATCCAGCTGAGAGGCACCTGCACCAGGCGGATGGGCATTGCTGCACTTTTGCACATCAGATTTCGGATTTCAACATGCAGGCCCAGAATGGAGCAGCCTGAGACTCCCCATGGTGATCGAGGGAACACATAAAAAGACTCAAGCCTTTATTAATTTCAGGGCATATAACATGTTGCCAAAATAAAAATATTTTTCCCAACTGCTGTGTCGATACTCTAGGCATCTATACTTATATTTATGCTCTTTGAGAGCCACTGCATGTAGTCAGCTGTTTAGAAGTTGTTGGCCTCTCTCATTTGTCTTATGTGTCTTCTAGATTGTCTTAGAAGGCTGAGCTGAATTGGGTGGGTAAATTCATCTCTTTTGAGAAATCACCTGCAAAATGTTATTTTATCCTCTTCTACTTCTTCCTTAGTTCTCCCTACCTCTTCCTTTTAGTATATTCACACCGCTCTTAGACTTTTTTCCCTGTTTCTTACCTTATGCCCCATGGCTGTCCTCCGTGGCCCCCTACCCTCATCTTTTCAGGTGGTAGTGGGAGGTCTGGACCACGTGGGGCAGGCACACCATGGGACGCTTCCAATCTCTGTACCTTAGCTTCAGGAATAATGAGGGGCTCTTGGAAGCTCCCTGGGCTATA